CTGTTAGGAAATTCCTATATAGCCTACTATGGTTAATGTTATCTGGTTGCACTTTCATCGTTTCAGCTACAAGTAACTTGCGACTATATTATTGTGACGTATGAACTGATTCAGCAAAGACTGGATCACTTTAATAGGTATCATCATCATACAGAATCCCCAAGTTCAAGACTTCTACTTGTTTGTTTGAAGTTACGTACAAATCTACACAATGGGCTATCTGTGCTCTGCCCACTACGAGTATCGAAACCCCGTTTCTAGCGTTGTAAGTCCGCAGACATACCGTTGTGCTGCTGGGGGGGGGGGGGGCAAACTTCTACTTAGTTGTCATAAATTAACTTATTTCAGCGTTATAAGTTTCCCATCAGATTTTGGTCAAAGTTTATGGTCCTTCACAATTTCCTGCTGTAACTTGCCAAACTTATAATTTTTGGAAAAGTTTAGACTTCCTCAGCATCACAGTTTTTGATAAGAATTTGGTCGATTATTCCACACGTATCATAAAATCAGAGGACTGTCCCAGTAGTTTCTTTATCTCCTCCTTTAACTTTGCTGATACCTATTTATGGTCTGATTGACCCAGAACACTGATCTATCTGAATGAGGATTGGTGTGATGGTATCCTTATTTTATGAATACCATGTCTGTCTCACAACTCCATTAACAAGCGGCTTTAAAAGATGGTTCTTTGTAACTCTGTAGACACTTCAAATCTCATAAGTGTACCAACAGCTGTGAGAGTAGAATGATATAAAAGGGCCTAAGCTCCTTTTATTATATAAAACAATCCATTGTCACCAGGACGAACAATTTATTCCTGAAGTCCATCCAATAAAAGCATGCCTTGAAGTTGGTCAGTCTTTGCTGGATGCCCTGTTGTCCACTTATCCAACGTCTGATGCAACATAAATAGAAGTTACTGCCTGAAAGCCAATGATAATTGTTTCATGACGTTCTGCCTAGAAGTTAATAAATAATGCTGTTTACTACTTTTAGGGTATAATTTTCTATGTGGATTTTTTGTCTTAACCATATCAAATGGAAATTGAGGTGTTTGATGGTACTTCAGATACTTTATTCGTACGATAGCTGAAGTTTTGCCAATCGTATTTCGGTTTTTAATGAGTTTACACCTTACAGCCAGATAAATGGTACTTCAGATCCTTTATTCATGTGATAGCGGCAGTTTGGCCAATCGTATTGCAGTTTTTTTAACACGTTTACACCTTCCATCCAGGAATTTTAAGCAATGGAATTAAGTAAGTTCCAATGGTGTTACTATAGGGCGATGGGATAAAATATAGAGTGTAAGCAGATGTTTTGTTATGTGGTTCGTGATCGAACCACCAGAGGATGTTGTTGAACCTTTTTTAATATGACGTCACTAGAAGGCACTCTAGATATCAGCGTATCTCAGCTTGTGATAACATCATACTGAACTTCGTTTTGACCTCGATTGCAAAATTCTGAAACACAAAAGGAGACATGACCTTTCATCTAATGACCTTATATATTTCGTAATATAACATTTGCTAAAGCTAGAAAAATATACCACGTGGCCGTTGATTTCACCTGTAAATATGCTTTTTGATTCCTTGTTAATACAAAAAAAGGTTTTCTTGAAAAATGATTTCAAACAATGCAAACAATATAGTAGGGATGCATTTGGATCATCCCTAGATAATAGCACAGTCACACAGTGTAGTAGAATGCTAACAGACAAAAATAAAATAAATTTAACTCAGTTTTGTTTGAATAGTTATATATATTGCTATATGTTAATTCTTGCCTGTGTTATTATGTAGGGATGATGCAAATGTCATCCATACTGTGTTGTTTGCATTGTTTTTGAAGGATTGATATTAGCCATCCCTACATTTACTTCCTTTTTTTAAAAGTTTTTTCTTTACTCGTACACTTAATAATAGATACAATATTGTCAACACACAGACGAATAAGGTCTTTGCAATACTTTCCTATTATATGTTCAAATTCGATAGTTGTTCATAATGAATGTTGTTAATGGTTTGGTGGTTAGGACACTCGACTCGCAATGTAGCAGTGTAAGACTAGAGGGAAGGCAGCTAGTCATCACCACCCATCG